TCTCCGTTAACAGTTTATTTTCTGGCATCCCGATGCCTTTGTATATGAAAACCAGATAGAAATAAATGTTGACTGAATCACAACAACATAGTCGCAACCGTCCCTAAATTTAATGAAAAGTAAACATATGAAGCAGAATCTAAAAAGTTTATTAGTTATCGGAGTTGTTCCATGTTATCACTCCTCCCTGCATTTTAAAATAATGGTTTTGTACAAGATGAGCAGAAAATAAAAAAATTAGAAATCAATCACTGCTTATGCCTCATTTCTGCTTCTCCCCCTGCCTCCCCAATTCAAGTGTTATTGGTCCTTTCATCAGTGAGTCAGTCTAAGAACATAAAGCATATCTCGGTCATTTAATATTAGTAACAGCATTTCTTCAAAACTCCTTTCCAGCACAGACGATGGACTCTGACATGCTAAAATTGCTGGGAAAAGCAGGGCAGTAAGCATGCTGCTAACCAATAGATACCGCCAGGAAAAATCCCAACACAATAAATACCAAGTACTGAGCAACTGCCTAAAAGACTATGTGCAACCACCAAGAAGTTAGTTCACATTTTATCATTTAATAGTATATCTTACACAGGGAAATCAAGGTATGAGACATGCTGCAATTCTAACAAGGAACATTGATGATGACATACAGCTCAACACCAGAGCTTCAGAGGTTAAATAATGGTACAGTAACCTGAAAGGGTATGCACTTTATTTATGTTATTTATATCATACAGGTATACAATATATTTATATTATCATATTATACATGTAATGGAAATGAGCCTTAATAGAGAGCCATTGAAACTAGCAAGAAGGAGTAATGCACAGTAGGATGGCTATAGCACTGCTAAAACCCAATTGCCACTTTCTTAGACATGCTGCTCTATAGAGATCATACCATTGTCAAAATAGAGGGGAGAAAAGAAATATCACATAATGGGGAAAAAAACAATACTCAAGAAAACCAACACCCATTGACTCAATGTAATATAAAGAATCACAGAATATTCTAAGGGACCCCACAAGAATCATTGAATCCAACTCTTGGCCCTGCACAGGACATCCCCAAGAATCACACGATGTGACAGAGCATTCTTCAAACGCATCTGGAACTCTTGAAACTTTTATCCTTCAGGAGTGATACAAGGATTCGGGAGGGGGGTAACCTGAATGCATGGGTTCATTTAGTAATTTTTCCCCACCTACAAGTTGACCTTCAATACTGCGCATCATGTTTCATATAAGCAAACAATACGAAATTAAACTAAACTAAATCTGCTTCAATTCCACTCAATAGTATTTCCCATGATGACATGTCAGAAATATCTTGAACCACCTATCTATCTCTATACCTGAGAAAATGCATGATGGCATAGAAAAAAAAAATCAATTTTCAAATTCAGCGATTCCTTTGCTTCTTGAGATTTATTTAACTTCTTTGGCATATGTAAACAGGAACAACATCTGACTACAACTGAAACAAATAATAACTTCAGATCTGGTTTAAAAGAAAAAGGGGAGATTTTTAATGATGATTCTGTTACGCAAGAATAAATTAGATGGCATGCTAAGATCCCGACAAGTTGTTAGCATCTTGCATCTTTTATATGATCTTTTCCATAAGCATACTGACATGACTTTTAATGACTATTCTCTCATGAACTATGAACAGTAGATCTGTATGTTTTCTACTCTGAGAAGAGTGATTCAGGTAAGCTTCATTAGCAAGACCTAACCTTGCCAAAATAGCAGAAACTTAACATTGACTTAGGAATTCAGTTAATCAGATTCTGCTACTACAGTAACTCTAACACAAATAACTGCAAAGCTGAAACTAGGGCAAAAAAAACCCCAAGAAAACTTTAAACAATCATGGTCAGTCTCACAGCATGGTGACATTTGCAAAGTTACTTCACTGACAATCAAAACTACACAGTAAAAGTTCTGTATTTTCCCAGTCTTTTGAAGACATACAAATTAGAATTACTAACTAGATTCAATAGCCGAAAATGCATGTTAATAGCAAGGATTTCTAAGCAACATATTGCTCCAGGAAGAAAGGTGACAGGAAAAGGCAATTTTAAACTCTGTGGCAATGATTTAGAATAGCTAATTGTAACCTTTTTTCCTTCATTTTTAACAAGTACATTTTGTTAACTTAGAAGCTGTTTAGCTGGTAATCAATCAACGGTGTCTGAAAACTAGGATGCAGCAAAGAAGTGGGACTCCTGGAGACGAGTGCTGTTCTGCAGACCACGTTTTTCTCAACAAGACACAGTCTGCATGTTTTCTCTCATTTAATCCATTCATATGCATTTATCATCTCGTTTTTGTACATTAAAACCCGAAGTTCTTGTATTCGTTTTATTATTCTATTTAATTACAGTATCCAAACTTAGAATGAGTGGAGTAGTGAAGAACTTCTCAGTAATATACTAATTCATACGAAACAAAGAATTCTTTCTGTATTGCCTCAGCTACCTCTAATTCCTGGCAGAACAACACAGACAGGTCATGCAAGGCAACAGAAAGACTATCCACAATGGTGTAACAGCAGTACAGGCCTCCCTCAACTCCAGCGTTGTGAGAAGACTTGGAGTGGACCAGCTGGTCCTCTCCTGAAAAGAAGAGAATCAGCAAGATGAAGCCAAGGCCAGAATACCCAAGAGATGCACTAAATCAGTGCAATTTCTGCAGCAACCTCCCACAGACAGGACTCTAGAGCTTAAAATCTGTTTTCCTTGGCAAGTGCCACAGTGAATGAATCTATAACCCCCACAGGATTGCTATTACCCCTACCCTTCAAGTATTTTCACTGGCACAATTGCCATTTGAGGTGAAGAGAATAAATGAAAGAAGGCAAACTGTAAGTGAATCAAACTCACTTACAACAAATATAGATGTACCGATCCATGAAAAACATATTGAGATCAAAATGCAAAAACTAATGCCACTAGAGAAATGTAACTTTTGTACCTTGACTAACACAGAAAACCTGTTCTGCAAGGAAGTGATCTGGAAGGAAGAAAAGGAGTACAGGCTAAAGACAATTTTCATTTCAGTAGAGGATGCTTTGCTCTGCAACTTGGGGAAAACAGACAGCTCTGAGAACATCTCTAACCCTGCCCCACCAACCTAAGTCCAAGGGGAAAACGGGTAACAGTTCAGGAGCAACAAATAGCTCGTTTCTTTTTCTCCCTCCCTCATCCATGACAGCAACATCACCTAACGTATTCCTTGAAAGCAGACAGACCCTCCAAATATACAGAAGACACAAAAATCTATGAAGTATTACAGAATTTGGGGAATGTCAAAGAGAAAGATTTGAGCGTATTTCCCATGCTTCAGTGTATAAGTTTTTCCAAAAAAAATGTCAGCATAGGAAACATTTCAATACTTATAAAGAGAAGCCATAATGTTAATATAAAGTATATCAAAAAAAGAGAGATTAGGAGCTTGCAGAAGAGTGTCTGCACTAGGTCAGACAAAGAAGCCGTGGCAGTTCAGCATCTGCCTCCAAAAGCAGGCGCCTGTGAAATCGAAGAGAACAGGGCCAGCGCAGAGCATTACTTGCCCAAAATACTGTTCCAGCCTCCAGCAATTTGCATCCCAGAAACTTTCAGAGACCATACACTGAAAAGCTACCTGAATCATCTGTATGTTAGGTATCCAGCTTTCATCACCCTGCTATGTAAAAGCAGGCAATAGTCCTCATTTTTACACCGAAAAATTTTAAAAAAATTATAAATTCGCTAGTCAGATTTCCTCAAAGATATCCAGAGCTTTATTGCATATAATCAGCCTTTTGCTAAAAGGAGCGTGGTAAGCCATTTGGTTAACTATCACAACAAATCATTATTAATAAAGTTCTGCTAAATCCAAACTTTAGATATCTTAACAACTCACCCAAAACTTTTTTCAAGTTCATTAACCTCTAGCATATTTTTTCTCTAAATACCGGCTGTTAGAGTGGTACTTTCTTCCATCTGTTAAACAACCGTGCTCTGAATTACACAGAAATTTAGCTGAATAAAAAAATGATTCATTGAATTTAATAGTTTAGACGAGGCTCTATTTTATTTCCATTTACTCAATGGCAGAATTCTCACAAAGCCCAAAAAGTACAAGACTTGGATAAACACACAGACTTCTGTTAAGTGATAAAAATCTGAGCTTTTTTTATTTCCCCCCATGAAAAATTTAAACTAACTTAACTTTTTCCTTAAGGACTGAGTAAAAGCTGCCAGATTTGTTTCTGGATGTTCACTCTTGGGGGCATAAGGGCGACAGAACAAAACAAAAACCACACACACAACCAAAAGCCTGCAAACAGTCAGACAATAGCATTTGCTGTGGCAAAAGGAAAAAAATTCTGCAGTTACCAAAACTCAAGCTGCAATGAATAATCGGCATGTCAACCTTCTGGGGCTTTCTAGAAATGTGTAGTGAATAGTACAGTACATGGCATTGGGAACTATACCCAAGGACAGAATAAGATCAGGGAAAGTCTCTCATCACATTGCATTGTAATGTATCTTCAAGTGATTTAACACCCTCCTCACACACTTGAGCTTACCTTCTATAGACATAGTTATGTTCATAGAAATGTTCCTGGTCATTCTGCTGCAGAAATTTCAAGTTATTAATCTGAGAACTCCCATGTTTAAAGGTGCTGTACACTACAGTCTCAAACAACATTTCAAATCTCTTTGTCCTACCAAACACAGCAACAACAAAAAGAATGAACTTGCAGTCCCTCCTGCTATTCTTCCTGCCTAAAAGCATTGTCACCTCATCACCAGAGCTGAACATTGCCTTTTCTTCACAGTTTTATAAATTATAATTCATAACTCACTTATTTAAATCTCCATTTCTAACATGACTGAGGGCTGCCCATGCAGTCAATGACTGCAAGTATCTATAACAACTGTGGGGAAGCCTGTGGCAAAAAATTAGCAGAATGAAATTGGTACTACAGCATGTAATAGGATAAGGGGTACCTGGTGAGGTGCAGTTGGTGCTCAGATTTACTCAGCAGTTCTGTCAGTTTTAGGCACTCCTCTCTGGCTCCTGTCACATCCTGCTGGGCTTGTTCCAAACGCTGTTTGTTTCCATTCAGCTCTAATCCCAGTTTTTCTATTTTCTTAGGAAAATGTAGAACCAAAGAAAGTACATTTAAGAAATGCACAGAGATACATGTTAAGACAAAAAAAAAAGTGATCAAATGTGAAAAATACTGCACGCTTCTGTTTTAGAACAAAAGTAGTTAGTTGATAAAAACTACAAAACAAGCAAATTAAATTATTTGAAATTATATTCTTATGAAAAGCCAAAATGCTTATCATATTTAAATACATTAATGCACAATCAACGTTATTGTCTTCATGCAGCTTAAGAGTTACAGGCATTCAAACATTTTCCAATTTTCTCCTACGAAAGCTTCCATATTTGTGTCCTGAATTCACTGTGTTAGAAAGCCAGATGGCAATGGAACAGTGTCCATCTCCAGAAGCTGCTGGACATAGGATAGCTCTTGTGACCATGGCTATGGGTCTTGTGGCTATGACAAGTGGGAATTTAACTTTGTCAGCTAATATTACACAAGAGAATAAAGGTAATTTTGTAATTTTCCCATTACTGAAAAGAACTAATTTATTACTTATAACTGAACCCTAAACATACCTGCTGTTGTTAGTCCTGCCATGTTATTAACATCATTAGTCCTTGTGTCAACATAGTAACTAAAGTTGATGAGACTATTTTACAAATAACAATATTCAAGTTCACATGAGCAGCACCTTTGATTCCAATGAAACATACTAGATCTTTGATATCCAATCATTTTGTCAGCAATCTAAATATTTTTCATACAAATTCTCTGAAACAATACATTTTGCTCCATATACAACCTACAGGTACCTGCAGGAATACATCTGTAATGCAATACTGCTCTTAAGAAGGCCAGTGAGTACAGAATAAGCTGACAACGCATTTTTATTATGTACTAACTGTTCTACACTAACTCCCTACATAAATATTTATTTGTCATTGGGGCTGGAGGGAACTTGCATGTTTTTCAGTCAGCTAAACTGTGAAAGGTCATTTTAGTACAGAATAAAATTGTTCATACAAGGAGTTAGTGCTGAATAGCTACTATACTTTAAATTCATACCATAGCTTATCTGTGATAGCTTCCTCATGTAGACAAGACTCAATATCTTCTTTAGTTAATGAAATTATTCATTCAAACACCCTAAAACATGCTACAAGAACAAATGAATGAAACTCGATCCCAATATTTACACTTGAAGCACCTTTGTAATGATGTTGTCATTTTTCCTCCCATACAAATATTAACCTAAACTACTTACACTAAGTCATGAGGTCAGACAAATACAACCTCTTCATCCAGAAAAAGGTTTCATAATATTGGGGTTTAAGTTTTGCTGTACACACTTTTCCCTCAAGAGCACACAACAAAGGTTCATGAAGGAAATTTTTATTAGAATTTAAATGCCATCTCACTTTACATAGACCTCCTACCAAATTAAATCAGTAATTCCAAGGTCAAATATAAAGATAGTAAAACTATTTACAAAATCACTAGTAAATGATTTTTTACTTCTAAAGAATGCAACAACCTATTACACTGTCAGAATGTTTTAAAACCAAGTGTGCAAAGGTATTTAGTTACGTGTTCTTTGTATTTTCACAGACTTTTGCATATTTTATATATAACAGAAGTCTCATGGGCTCTCTATTCTTATTAACAGTTGTAGATTATAAATGTTATTTCTTCATTCATAGTAAACAAGGACATGAACTCTTCACAGTCTTTACAAGTTAAAGACATGGAAGTTCTGTAATGGTCTTAAAATTTGCTTTAAAAATACATCCATTCAGCACACCTTTAAACAAACCCAAACCACAAGTTAGTCAAAAAGCATCAACTAAGCATTTGAAAAAGCACAGCCACTGCTGAGAACATAAATACACTCTAGATCACTCCTTCAGGGAAAAGTTTCAAGGAACAGATGGGCTTTACACCATTGCCTCAAGTTAAACAGGCTCAGTCAGGTTTTGACACAGACCCACAGAAGGAAGCAAATTCCAAGTGCAAGAACCTCTGGTGAAAATGTTTTGCTTCCATCAGCCAGATGTTGAACCTTCAGGGCTGAACCCAGGAAGACATCCATAGATTTCAGTTCTCATGAAAATATACAGGGAAATTCTCAGAGTGAAGTGCCATTTCATGACAAGATCCTTAAAGATTCACAGGCATCTTATAATTGCTATTAAAAGTATCAAGAAAGCAAACAAAGGGTTTCAAGAACAATTTTACTTGTATTACTTTCATCAGTAATTCCAAAATTCAGTATCAGCTCCTTAACACACTTATACACAGATATATGTGTGTTTTCACACATGTGTAGTAGGTACCTACAGATATATATACATAAATACCTTAAAAAACCTACAAATTTGCAGGCACTCACAACATGAGCTATATGAAAAGTAGGAATTCTACACAAAAATTCTGGTAATGACCATGGCAGAAAGAGCTGACAAACTCATGAGAAAGAGAGAGCAGAAAAATGCCACTCAAGAAAACATGTTAACAGAAACTCAGAAACCAGAAACATCTAATCCAGTTATATTTAGGGATATCAACTAAATTATTCTTTTTGAGACACCAGAAAATGTTCATTGAAAGAATTTGGTAGGAGCCATGTATCATCATGCTGAAAACAGACCATTCTCTGAACACTACATGTTACCTTGGTTTAAAAACTGAGATAATAGTTTAAAACATGAAGCCTCAGAAATTGAGACGTGTTCCTACAATAAAAATCAACTCTTCTCTCTCCTGCAAACAATAACCATCTCAAATACACTCTAGCATGAAAAATGTCAAGTCGGGATTTCATCTACAGAGAAAATACAGAATCAGTGAATCTTCACTGTTCCTACAGAGAGCAGGAGCATTTTTCCAAAACCACTCAAACTAGTTTTCACATGACTTTAGTAACCTTTTCTTCTACAAGGAAGCTCAGACACTTCTGTAGCTGCTATCCAGACCCCAGTGTAATTTTAGGGACAGAAATGGAAACAAATCACTAACTAAAGCATTTTGCTGACAGCTCTGTTTCTCATGCAGTGTTAATTTGATCCCTCAGAGCCTATCACCTGTGATACAGCTTTTTACAACATGATCAGAAAGTTATTTCTTCAAGGTACTTAACTTTTCAATGTATGTGAGAGACAAGAGATGGAGCACAGAACTGCAAAAAGACAGATGACAATCTTGCATTTAAGAAAATCTGAAACAGATTTTCAGTATAACAAGGAACAGAATTATCATAATGTATACGTACAACAAGACTACATTAAGGTTAGAACAGGCAACTTCTGGTGCTTAACTCTGCAACTTTAATGTTCTTATTACTTCTGCACATAATTTCAGAAGTACTGTTTAATCTGTCTTCCTCTGCAGTTGCCCAAACTCCTAGGAATATCAACAGGCACTTTGCCATGGAAAGATGGCAGGCTAAACCTCATTAAGAGAAACACCATTATTAGCAAGCTGAAACACATTAACACCATTCCACATACATATTCAATTCTGTTACATGAAAGAAGTTTCACTTAAACAAAAATTAAAGCACTGGTGAAGTATCATTGCAGTAAAAGTTCACTCTATATTAATTATTGTTGCTTCAGCATTACCACCAACCACCTTTTGTATATTAAGTTTTCCACCTTGAAGCATCTAGGACCCTTCCATATCTTCATCTCTATCTTTCCTTGAAACACTTCAGCATTTCAGTTCTCACTCAATAGTTTATGATGCATTTACAAATTATCTTTGGATTTTCACAACACATTTTAAGGGAACACACTGGAGATGCTCATTCAGTGGCATAAATGCAACTAACTGGAAAACTTATATAAAAGATGATTTCTCCAACACTGAACCTATGTGAAACTATCTTCACCTAACAGTACTTAAGTATACTGCAAAAATGTGCTTTTTAATTAACTAGATATCTCTATCGCTACAAAAATCTCATTAAATAATAATTCCATTCAAAACAAGTAAAATTAAAGATTAAAATAATTGTTTAATTCTTTTCATACTGATGCAGATTCTATTGTATGCAAAAAAGCAACTTTAAATTTCAAACTAGCAGATGTTTTTCATAGAATTTCAAATAGAGGCAAACTGACAGAAAAGACAAATACTTTTTTTTTTTTAACAAATGAGGATCAATAAGTGGTGATAAAAAATCTTGTGCTCTGAAGTAAGTGCAAAAACAACTTTAGAAGACTTAACAAAATGAAAAATAAATTTAAATCAAATTAATTCATATGTGATTTAGGACATTCACTCTTGTACCAGTATACTCACACATCAGGTAAGAAAACACATAGTATAGATTTTAAAGTAAATTCTGCACTGACTATACCATAGCACAAATTCTGTAGTAAACTAATTCTTGAGAAGAAAATATTTATATGAATTTACAGTACATTCTTTTTGCTCCATACATCACTTCACCACTATTAAAAGATTAAAGGGGCATAAAACAGAACCAAAAATAGGAGAACAAAGTAATAAAAAGTGAAATATAATTACTATGATGGTTGGTATTTACAGGTACACCCCCAAAAGGCAATCAACATCTATAAAAACACATACACTTCAAATTAATACATTTTTGCAGGCCCTGATGCTCATGTGCTTAGCTTCATTTACCAAAGCAGCTCTTCAAAGCAATGTGATAGTGCACAGGACCAAGGCTAAAATTAAGGTCTTTCAAGGAGGTGCCCCCAGTGTAGCCATTGATGTACACTTTAATATTATATGTACCAGTGACAGGAAATTTTTGCAATAACAGTGATTCCAATCCATGTTGCCTTCTATACATATTAATACACTAATTAATCAGGGACAGAACAATCATACTTTACTATAACACTAACTGTTTTCCAGTATTTATTATTCATTAATTTAAAACAACCTGAACAAAACAAGACTGGTTTTGTAGCAAGATACTAAGTATTTTACTTCCAGAAAAGATGACTATCAGTCTATATGCAGCAGGGGTCACTTGAGTCATTTCTATCCTAATCCTGATATCA